GCTCATGAGTATCCCAATACCAGCCCCACCCTGCCCCATCCCCACCCCTGTCTGCCGCCTGGCAAACAATGCCACATTGGATCCCGATGCCCCACGTGACATGTACAGTAAATTAAAAAAAAACGTAGTCATACCTGAGAATAAAGAGCATAAATCGCCATGAGGGTCAAAGGAAGGCCAATACAAATGGTTACGCATGTCACGACTTTTAAGATGAATCTATCCTCTCCGCTGTAATAATACATGCCAAAAGGGGATAAGACAAAATACTTGGCAGGATCATAATCGTTGAAGGTGGTGTCTTGTGAAGTGTCGTTAATGAGGAGGTCTTCCATTCTTCTGAGTGAAACCTGTAGTCAAAGAGATCAGGTTATAGGAAGGCAGCATGTTGTTTAATATCTACGTCATGCACACATACAGTATAGCTACATATATTATACCATACAATTAAATCATATCAAATGTTACATTATCTGCTAATAATGTTTAATCATTAAATAAAGTTTCAGATAGTAAGACATGTCCTAGTGATGTTCTCTGGAACTGTACCAGTCTTCCAAATGATATTCCCTCATTTGCTGTTTAAATGATAGTCATCTAACACTTCATCCACAATCTATCAGGTGTCCAGTGGGGTTTATATGGTGACTGTAGAGGCCCTTGTGCCCTGCAGTTAGGGGCATTGTCTGTTTCAAAGCAGAAACACAAATATATATTCTCTGTCAGTACAAAATGTTCAAAAAGATGATTAGCTGGACCTCCCTGGATTAAACAACTAAACAAGCACTTGTAAATTCCTGAATCAAGATGGTGAATGACAAGGCACATATCAACAAATATTTCTCACAAGCTTATTATGGAAAGCTCGATGGAACTCTTACTGTCTCCTTTGACAAAATGGAATCTGACCAGCAGTCCATTCACAGATTTCTTCTAGTGCTGCCAAAAGATCACCTCAGCCCTACCTTATCACATCTGTCACTTCCACTTACCCTGGAAAACCTCCAGTCACAAGTTAGCTTATTTAACCGTTAGACCATGTTACTGTAAATGTGTGACTGAGATTTAGCACTGTGGCAGACCACCGGGTGTTTTTCTGTTCGCGGTTATATCAGAAAACAGCTAGTGCATTTAAAGATGGTATGTCAGTTAATATACATAAAATGCTTGCAGGATGTGTGTGAAGTCTATAAACAATAAAAACAATCATCCCCTTTTCACAGCTTGGATTAAATAGACGCTACAGTATGTCGAAGCTGATTTGTGTCTGTCACGGATCCTTAGACAACAAAACCTACTTGCTTTGAAGGTCTTTGTGAGGATGTAGATGTCAGAACCAAGACTCTTTCTTCTTCACTTTTGTCACAATGTCTGTTACGGTCTTTCCAAGTCAGGTCCTACAGAGGCTGGCCAAGACTCCCTCCTAGCATAAGGTGAACAACAAGTGCCCAGATATGCCTCATTGAAGAGGCTTTCAAGTCCGGCAAATCGTGCACTAAGAATTGCGGGTACCTCATGCCTGCTGAGGATACACACATGCATCCTTGAAAATTCTCTGAAGGAAGGACTTGGTCCTCCGTAGAATTTGAAGGATCCTTAACGTTGGAACAGTCATTGGCAGAATTTGATGCTGCAAGGTGCTCCTCAAAGTCAAGGAAGCTTCCAAGTCGAGACCCGTAGAGGCTGTATATGGCTTACATGACATATGAGTAGTTACTGTCTTCTGCTGCTGCAGTCAATGCAAGGATATATGCTGTAAAACAAATGCTCAACTTGTTACATGTAACATTCCCCTTAAGCCTCTTCAGCTCTTGTAATGTTACCGACTTGCTTAGTTGAAAATAGGTTGACATTGTATTTAAATCTGCATCATGCCAGCCTTACATTAAATGACTCTGAAAGTGATATCAGTGTCGTAGACAAATGTTTTTTAATGTTGCAGTAAAATCAGACAGTTTCAGTTACTTGAGTTGCATGCTCCCATGATCTCGATCATTCTCAATCAGTGTAAGTGGTCATATAACTCAGTCTGAGCTGTCTTAAGCCAGTCTTTTCTCATCTTGACGTTCTCACAAAATCAAACATGTTAAATACGATCGTAAGTTATTTGTCTTGGCTCATGCACATGGTGAAGTTCAATGACGTGAACATTGTCAGTAACCAATGAGTGCACTCTCTCTAGCACCAATCAAGAAGCAGCAAACCAGGCAGACAATAAACATGGAGGCACAAAAATGTCTCAGTTCTCTTGGACTGTGAAAAGCAAGAGAAACTGGTGGAATTGCGGAGTGAACAAGAGTTCCTGTTTAACTAAGCCTGTATCTGATCCCCCAACCAGCGCTTATGTTAATGAGAAATCTTAATTTTGAAACGGTTCACCTTTCATTCTCCCCTTCCCCTCTCATTAAAATAGTGCAGAACTGACAAGAATACTGCTGAGATATGACGCCCTTTGTCTTGTGTGTCTGGAGTTATGTGTTTTTGCAGATATGTTTGGAGCTGTTAATGTCATATTGCTTAAAAAGTTTGGTGTAATATATTTCACTAGGAGCAGGATGGGAAATAATCTCAAAGGACATCTAGTTTTAGTCTTGCAAATAGTGACTCTGCAGGATCCCCAATCTCTGCAAAATCTTATAGTGTCACAAAAAACTTTCATTGTCTTTAGATGTGAGAAGGTGCCAGACTATTTTTTTCAAAGTCTTCAAGTGTATGGTAGGCTATAGTTGTATTTTTGGGCAGCACAGGTTGCTTATGTAGCAAAGTTTTTAGCAAACAGTTGCTTATCTACACATCCAATGGACATACAGCTACATTACCATTTATGACTCATGTTTGTTAACCTGATGAATGTAAGCCTAATATTCAGTACACTATTACTTCTTTTTTGATCCCCACTAACTCCTAAGAAAAATATCTGACTCTTAAAGCTGCTGAACGCTCCACTACGTTCACCAGCTAGTCACTGTTTGCTGATTGCTGCTGAGCAGGTAGATTAGTGGGGTTTCTAGACCTTTTTTTTTCTTTTGTTTACTGAAAACAACTGCTTGTTGCAACTGAAAACAACACTGATGATACAAGCATGTTAATAAATACATATGTATATATATATATACATATATATATTAGAGCAGCTTTAAATATATCAAATAAAGAAAGAAAGCTGATTTTAAGTGTTTTATTAAGTGTGTAACATAGGAGTTCAGAAACGACACCGTCCCTGCAGGTGGAAACACAACAAACATCACAGAGTGTTTACATAATTGTATGTTCTGTATCGCACATGATTACATCATTTCCTGGTTCCAAAAACCTGGATATGCTAGGATCCAAGGATTACTCTGATAGAACCTGGATACTGTTAAAATCACGTTTACAGGAATGTAGATAATTAGGTTTATCATGTTCCATGTAAACATCATATCTCCAGTAAGATCAAAACCAGCATATGGCTCCAAACCAGGACACCAGTGTGCATGGTAATGCACAGATGGAATTTAGATCTGTAACACGGGTCCTCAGGTTGGATTAACCTGTCAATAGATCAAGCAGGGATGATGTGTGCTGAGTCCCAGGTGGGCTCAATCACAGATTCATATTCATACACTTGTGTTAACAGAAACATGGAGAGGAAATGGCTTCACAGAGGGCACAGGAGGCTTAGTGGTGAGACTCTGTTCAGCTGGAGGATAGGTTTTTTAACCCCTATGAGCAAGTATCTGCTGTGCTGAATATCCATGAGCATGATCCTGAATCCTAATCAGCGTGATCTGTGTAACAAATTCTGCATTTACCTCAGGTGGCCATTTACAAAGACAAATCTGAAATTTATCATACCTTCAATTTAATATAGGTGTTTAGACTAAACCATAACACCGACCTCTGTGGGAAATGTCTTCCCAGATATATTTTTGAATAGAGATGAGACGTGCCTTTGTAGTTAGCAAATACCTGCCTATTTTTAGTTATTTGAACTGTGCTTGGCCAGATTGTGAAATAGTCCAGCTCGAAAAATATGAGCAGACCGCCCTCTGCTGTTGTAATTTATGTACTGCACAAGTTGGGACGTTATGGGTGGGGTGTGTCAAGTATATTATCTTGGGTTATGAATAGTGCACAGAAAGGCTTGAATGGTTTTATGCATGTTTGTGTATTTCTTTAAATCTTCAAACAGCTATTAATGTTAATTGATCTACATGGAAGCCAGGCTAATGGTATAGTACATTTTACCTTCTTTTGTGATGTAGAGTCAAACTTACATTTGTATGTAACAGGTAAAAGCAAACACTTTTTTTTAAACTTTATTCTTAACAATTCAGTAGTACAGTATCTCGTAAGAAAATAGAAACTTGCATTCTTCCAAATAATGTTAACAGATTAAAAACAAATTCAAAATAGCAAAGCTATATTTACAATAAAAATAAATAAATATTTAAATAAAATGAAGAATAAAACAATAAATACATGTGCATACGGACAATGAATATATTCAAGGCGATATGTTTTGAGTCCCCTTTGGCAATGCACACAGTAAACCCATATGGTAGCAGAGTCGAGCCAATAAATAAATAATACAAGAAAATCCTTCCAACTTGGTCAAAACACCATAAATTGTGACATAGTTTGAAATATTTGTATAAATATATTTGTATGGATAAAAAAAATACTTCTTTAGTTAATTTATAAACAACATTAATGAGAATTTCTATTTTTTTTAAAATATATTATTATATGTGAAATGTTACCATTATTATGAAGATACTGATCAAACACTTTAAAAAAAAGTGTGTGACTAAATACAGTGGTTATGTTTCCTGTGTAAGGTTACGTGTGAAGGTCGTCAGTGGCACACCATTATTACAGAGAGTGACAACAAACCACTAGCCAATTTCTTATCTCTGTCCAAGAAGTTGACTTTGCGCTAGGCAGCCTGGGAAATTGATTTCTTGCGCGTCTTGGAGCGTTTCACAGTCGGACAAATGCAAACTTCATTTCCCGTGGCTCTCTGCGCGGTCGGGGTTACATGCTGCTCTCCACGCAGTCCGTGCTGCAGCAGCGATAAATGTGGTCCTTGAACGACTCATAGCCAGGGCACATTCGTATGGCCCTTAGGATAAAGGGGTTTTGGCGTGACCTCAACACGTAAATTCCAACGTAAGTGTATATCCTCTGCTTTAGCATGTTATACTTACGTAGTGACAACTTATTTCCCTGCCTGTGAGGAGTAGCAGTGCAGCTAGCTAACAGCTAACTAGCTAACGTTAACGTCAGGCGTCAGAAGCCAAAGTTGGCAGCAGTTCAGAGTGTGGCCTTAACGAGCCCGCCTGTTTGTCAGTGTCTAAATGAGATGCCTGCTTTAATACGATAAAGCCTGTTTACTTCGCTTCGAGAGTGACCTGGCAACATAGGAACTTAAAGCTGTCTCCTCTTGTCCTCCAGACAAAACTGGCCAATGTCAACTAGCCTAAAATAGACGCTTGTGTAAAGCTGAAATGAATTTAGCTCCGTACTTCCGGTTTGAACCTCTGAGGCCAGGACAAATCCCCATTGTCTTTTCTACCAGTGTTTTTTGAATACTTTTATTGTGAAGATAAATGTGAGGACTTCCTGTCTTAATGTGGTGAATTCACACAGCTCTTGCAGTAGTTTGGCTAGCTGCTAGTTGGTGTATTAGAAGTTTTGTAACGTAACAGTAAACGTTTACCTGTTGTTAAGTATTAGCGTGTGTACGCTAACGTTACCTTTTTAAAAGGTAGTTTGAGTTAACGTTAAGTATTTTTTGGTTGTTTTTTTTTTTTTTTTGAGACTTACGCATTTGGACTTTGTGCATAAAACTCTCGTTTGTTTTGCTTCAGGTGCTGCCTTTATGATTGCGCAATCCTAACAGGTATGTTCCAAATCTGTCATAACCTGTGTAATCAGTGAATGAAAGGAGATAAGTTTATTACCAACACAGGGAGGAATTCAGGTCATGGTTGGTTTTCTCTATGAGTTGTTGAAGCTTACCCTTGACTTGTTTATTTAGTAACGTCACTATGTATAATAATAATAAGCGAACTCTACTATATAGTAGTAACACATCTATGTAGCAAGTGTTTTTCTAAATAGATAACCACAACAACATGGACAACATGTTATAAAACCAAGAGCAACAGCATAGGAACAAAAGTCAAATAATAAAACACAACTATTAATAACTTTAGATGAATGAACCTTTTGATGATTTTTCAGCAGATCTGTGAACATTGATTTGGGGAGGAGTTTCTCTGATATTTTTAGAAACTTTTTAATAGGAATAACTCTGTATAGTGTTTTTCTGACACGGCCATTGTTTTATCAGCTCTTTGGTTGATTTAACCACATTCTGCGATCATGCAAGATGAGGCTGTTAAGCAGGGAGAGAAGGCTCTGTGAATATAACGTGTTCAGGGCTTCACCAAGCCATTATATCTTTACAGTGATAATAGTCTGACCTTTAAAGTAACAACTTCATTTAGTTTTCTTTGGGAAAATAAATCAAATATGCCTACTTTATATTTTAGAAAAAGTTTTATTATACACCTTGAAATCAAGAAGACCCTGCGACCCCCTGTGAAACTTTGGCAACCCCACCCCCCATCCCCAGGTTGGGAACCAGTGATTCAGAGAAACAGAACAGACTGATGATATTCCTTATGTGTTTTAAAGGGTGATTAAGAGTATTTGAGATACATTTTGTAGCAAAAAGCAAAGTGGATCAACTGCAATGTATCCAGGTTATGTATGAAAGATCACAAGGAGAGAATGAAGAACAGGTAAAAAAAAAAATAAAAATCAAAGAGGGATAATAGAGCCAAAAATGATAAGTCAATTAATCGATTTGTGTACTGACAAAAGTAATTTGCAATTATTTAAATAATGTTTCAAGCAAAAATATATGGGTTCTACTAACTTCTCAAATGATATTTTTTTCCAGGGGGTTTTTGGTTTGTTTTGTTTTTTTTGGTCTCTTGGTCTTTCATAATAAAAACCTACATATTTCAAGGTTTTGGAGGCTTTATGAGCCAGCAAACAGACCAAAGATGTTACCTTGAACTCACAGAAGTTGTAATAGACATTTTATCTTCTCACATCTGACTTTACAGACTAAATGAGTAGTCAGTTAATTAATGAAATGGGGTCAATTATTTGACAATGACAGAGATGTTAGTTGCCAAACTAAACAAGAATGTAATCATTACAATATATTGCTGATGTTATACTTCGCTTTTTTTTTGTGTTATCCCACAGTCTGTGGTTAAACGTCACAGCAGTAAAGAGGCGGAGGGGAGGAGGATGATAATGCAGCGCATCTTGACTCATGGCACACTGCGGCGGGTGGCAGCAGCACGTCAGTTACTGGTGGGTGTCTCGATCTCTGAGCCACCGGTAGCATTTTGTTGCTGTACCCTCCGCCTGTCACCGCCAGCACCCACAGGCCGGCTCTGGCTTTCAACCTCAGCGTCCAGCAAGGCAGCACATCAGCCAAAACACCAGCCGCCACAAGATGAGCCACAGTCCAGCTCCACACCTCAAACACAGGAGGTCAAGAAAGGGGAAGCTAGGCCTGATATTGGAGAGGTGGACCCCCTGCAGGACAAGTCCATCGGTCTGGTCCAGAGGTTTAAGAGGACGTTCAAACAGTATGGGAAGGTTTTGATCCCTGTACATCTCGTGACGTCCTCTTTGTGGTTTGGAACCTTCTATTATGCTGCTATGAAGTGAGTCTTACAGTTTTCTGAAATCATGGCTTTGCATTATAGATCAGATGACATTTGTTCCTAAAATGCTATGTCTTTTTGAAGAATGACCAACTGTATTTAACCTTCAATACATTCCTAGCTTTGGTATACGAGTCACTAACACATCAGTGCTGGTGTTAGTATTGGTATTTCTTACCAGATCTATAACAATTGGCATTTCATGGATTGAGAATGGTTCGACACAGCTTCTACTGTTTTAAATCAGCCCTGAACCATGTAAGACATAGGCCCCCTTTACACCTGGCATCAAGATGAGTTTTTTGCAATCAGATAGTGCTTGACCACATACATTTATACCTGGTAGTAATATGGATCTCTGGTGTCCACATCCAGACCGGTTTTCTATTTGATCACACTCCGTCCTGCTGACATCACATCCTCCACTTTGTTTTCTGCAAGCATTTCCAGCAGCAGACTACAATAACACAACAAGATGTTAGCCGCCCGTAAAGTCGCGTTATTGTATAGACACTTTTGTCTGGCCAAATGGAGAGCGGACACTTCGTCTCACCGTGATTCCATCTTGGCTATCATCCGTGTTTTCTTTTTCTTGGCCATCGCTACCTGGTGAGGGTTGTTGTTGTTGTTGTTATTATCTTCTTCTTCCTTCTTCCTGTGTCCAGCTGGTGCACTTTGCTCACATATTTTTGCCGATGGAGTTGTTGCATGTGGATTGGAGATGCATTTGCATTCACTCTTGTGTTTGATGCGGTCACAATGCGTCCCTGACCACCTTCAGAAGTGGTTTGGCATATCAGATAACAATTCATCCTCAGTGCGTTTTGAGTGTATTTACACCTGTACTTTCATGTGGTCAAGAGCAATCCGATTGCAATCCCATCACAAAAAACGCATGTTAATGCAAGGTGTAAAAGGGGTAATACAGTCAACCAGTTGGGACTTATCTACATCATGACATTTATAAAATAATATGTAAGTTTAAGCGTAACTCCACCCAGTCGGTGGCAGCTAACTACAAGCTTTCCTCTCTGTTTGTCTTCCCCTCAGAGGTGTGAATGTAGTGCCCTTCCTGGAGATGATTGGTCTACCAGAGTCACTAGTTGGCCTGTTGAGAGATTCCTCGAGTGGCTACGCTCTGACTGCATACGCCATGTACAAGGTAATTCTATCCAGGGTCCTCTGTGTTCTTTTATGCCTCTAAGCCTGTGACAGCTGTGGCCGGAGGCATTATTTTTTTGGGTTGTCTGTCCATCTTATTCTTGTGAACGTGATGTCTCAAGAACACCTTAAGGGAATTTCTTCAAATTTGGCCCAGTTACCCACTTGGACTTAAGGATGAAGTGATAAGATTTTGGTGGCCAAAGGTCAGTGTGAGCTTGCGTCTGTCTCATTCACGTGAATGCAATATTCTCGGAAGGCCTTGAGGAAGATTTTCCCAATCTGGCACAAACGTCCACTTGGACTGTGAAGCATCCATGTTTTCACAGACATGGATGGAAACTGTAAGTGCAACTTTACTGGTTTGCAAGGCAGTAATTCTATGTCTTTTCTTTTCTTACAGATTGCAACCCCTGCTAGATATACGGTGACTCTGGGTGGCACGTCACTATCTGTTCAGTACCTCCGCAAGCACGGCTACTTATCCACACCACCGCCGGTTACAGAATACATCCAGGACAAAATGGAGGAGACAAAGGAGAAACTGACAGAAAAGATGGAGGAGACGAAAGAGAGATTTTCAGAGAAAATGGAGGAAACAAAAGAACGTATCTCTGGGAAAATGGAGGAGACTAAGGACAAGCTTTCTGAGAAACTGCAGGAAACCAAAGAAAGAGTCTCAGAGGGAAAAGCATTTTTTAGAAAGAAAAATGAATAACCAATCCTGTTTACAGATGCTGTCTCTGAATCTATGATCCTATTTTGATCTCAACAAGTAATCAGTGAGTTTGGGGCAAGTAATAGACGGCACTTATGAGACTTTTCAAACAGAAGAGAGAGACTTTGTACTATCCTTGTCCTAAAATTTCACCTCGCACATCTCAGTTATCAGCTGTTGTCTATTTAAGTGTCAAATTCTGTCTCTAATTGTCCAAACTCTGCCACGATGCACTGTAAGTGTAGACTAGACAGCAGCTTAGCAGACTCCTGGCAATGCTACATTCTGGCTCAGTCATCTCAGACTGGATTTACAAAGGCTCAAATAATCTTGACTGTAAAAAAAAGAAGAAACTGTCTTCTTATTTCTCTTCATATTAATACACAAAAATAAGTAAGGTTTTGAAAGGGTTAAAAACAATCTGTCAGATGGACACACAGCATCTATTACAGACTGTATGGGAGAGAGCAGAGCTGATCCCTCTGGTCTTTAAAATAAAACTTGAAGCTCATGGTTACCTGTGTGTACTAGTCCATTAAAGCCTTTCTGGATCGCTGGGTATCACCTTGTGTCTTTTCTAATGTAAGGAGAAAGAAATTAAGTTTTCTAATGTATTTTTGTCCCATAGCCTGAGTTAATATATTACATTCCTTTGGTCACTGTACCACTTCATGTGTTGACTGAAAGTTGTGTGTGAAAACAAGTCAAATCATTGTTTGAAAGCTGCTCTTGGAGCACAAAAAGCCACAGTACGTGTCAGGTAACGGGATGAGATTAGTCATACGTGTAAATGTGTACAGCAGCAGTAAGCACACTGTGGAATACATGGGACTTAAGTGTTGACAGTGTGCCAGATGAAATGTCTTGGGTGTTTGTGTATTACATACACAAGTGTTCTGTCAGTAATTCAAACAGATGTCTGATTAAAATTGCAACTGAATAACGTGAAATGCTAATAATCAGAGTTTGTAGGATACATTTATAGGCTGTGTGAGTCAAACTTGAAGTCAGACTGTAACTTTTGAAAGAGAACATGAACAGAATGCTCCACTTCAACAAAAGTAAATTCTTCACCAATAATCTTGTTAAATTGTATACACAGATACCCCTTTGTGCAAACCGTGACCACATCAATGGGCTTGTCATATTCTGAAGGTTGTAAAGAGAAGAGTCTTGCATGTAGTGGTGTTCTTCTTATCACGCGTTGGTCCATTTTTTGCTTTGACAGAACAGAAGCTTGCAGGTAATCAGTGGGATCTGCCATCTTGTTACTATTGTTTCCTTCTGTTGGGCATTGTGTGATGCCCTCCACTGATGATACGTCCTTGATTAAAATGGTTCCACTCAGAACTGGTGAAATGGGCTGTTGTGCTACAGTACCAGGACTAATTTGATGGAAAAGGAGTATCAGAGGTTTTTCTGTTACTGCTGGACTTAGTCTGATATAGAGAAGATAAAGAAGACATCACACTGTGTTCTGTTTTTTGGATAGTATTGTGCAGTTAGCCTACCTGCGCCTGCTACAGTGGTCAAGCAACAGTATTCGGACAAACTAATTACGATAAACAGTATAGATTCATATGACCGGTACATGGAAACTAGTATTTGGACTAGGGGCATACACTTAGGTAACAGAGCCAACAAGGTACATACCTCACCAGATGCCCCACCCGTCCCACACGGCAGTATCTCCCTTCATATTCTCTCTTACCAGAAGCATATGGTGGCAAATATTAGCTAATTTTATTACATTTAATGTAGCTATTGTTATTTCAGCATTAACTCAGTCAGTTCACTGAGTTTTTGTGCTACTGAATTAAATTAAATATAAGTTTTGACAGTTACAGTTACACCCTAATCAGTTGACTGCCAGTCAATTGATTATGTTAAGCAAGTTATATTGGCATATAGACACACTTAGAAGCAATCGCTCTGTGCATCACCAGTAACTAACTGAAAAATGATGAAGACTACTTCTTCTTTTTGGGGTTTTAACAGCTGTTTGCAACTAGCGCATTAGAGGCATTACCACCATGTGAGTAAGACTTCCAGGTTTCACATTTCTGTGTTTCACATCTCTGCAGTTCCTTCAGCTGTACAAGCATCAATATTTTAGCACCTTAAAGCGCAAGGTTTTGGTTTTACAACTCGCTGATGTGCGATTTTGGTTCACTTTGCTCATACTAATGAACTCAGAGAAACCGGACTCGGAAGTTCCTCTCAGCTCTGCAAAGCTTTTGAGTATCTTTCCGCTCATTGTTTTGGTTTTACGTCCCATAGATTCACTTTTACTTCACATTCACCACTGTCATAAGTGTTATTCCCAGCAGCAGCCAGCAGGCTTTTTCAGCAACATTTCTGATAAATCTATTTACCCAGCAGCACACAACGCACAAAGTTTGCAGTTAGCGAGTGATCATAGTGGAGCATTTAGCAGCTAAAGAGACATGTTTTTCCCAGGAGTTGGTGGAGAACAGAGCTAAGAGGAGAGTGAATATTGGACTTACATTCAATAGGTGGCAAGAAAACACATCTTTAAATGAATGTTTATGTTTCCTCATGTCTGCTGGATGTGTAGAGGCAACTGTTTCTAACATGTTGGCTCTATGAACATTACAAAGCCATAATACAGTATGTAAAATGTGTGTTTATTTTTAGTTTGTTGGGGTGTTCTGCCCCAAGTGGCAAAAAAATCTAACTGCAGCTTGAAAGTATAAAAAGTTAAAGTGCTCATACATTAATATAGTCCCTGTAAATAGTGATGAAATAACGAATATAATTGGATTTTTTTTCTTATGCATAAATTTCACATTTTTGCCTTGACCACTTAGGTTCTCCTACACACTTGGCAAATGGGAGAAGTTTCAGTTCTGCAAACTCATGCTTGATAGCACTGAATCCTACACACTGGATCTGTAATCTTAGAATAACACTTATTTGTTGCAGCTCATCAAGGTGTAGCTAATTATAACTATTTCATATGTTACGGGGTAGTTTAAGTTATAACAATGCGTTATGCTGTAAATGTTGTGCTAAAAATCATATTTTGCAAACAATAGCTGTGAAATGAATTTAGTCATGGAGGGACTACATGATGGGCCCCTGGGCATAGATCCCTCAAAGGCCCTCCCACCAAGTGACTCAGTCAGGTGACCTCACATCTGTGGGGTTTAATGATGTCTTACGGCAGAGTCAGACAGCCAAGCATGGTGTCAGTAGCCTAAACTGAATGTAGTACAGCATAAAAGATACACAATTACAGCACAAGTAAGCTGCATACTATAAAACGTCAATTCATAACCCAGGCTATTATTTGCTTAAGTCACTGAAATCAACAGGCCTGTATTTGGGAAAGGCGTCTATATGGGACAGGTCTTTAATTGCTTTCACACAAAACTGTTGTTCAGCAAAGATGAGGGAAATACAAGGAAATTGTTTATTTAAACCAGTATGAATATTACTTGTTTAAAAATTAGGCTTCAGATAATATATCAATTATGAATTGTTCATTTGATCTACATCAGAGAGAGAAACTGACAGCACCTGGCATACTGAAAAAACTCCACGTTATTATGTTAAAACAATACTCACAACTTGGATTAATTTTTAGGAAAAACCCTTTTGATTATTTTGATCTGAGGACCCATACAGACTAAAGGAATAGGAATAATTTACAGGGTAATCGAGAAATGGACACATAATTCGAGGTATTCATCAACCCGGTTTAAACATCTAAGAACTTCTATTAAAAAAATGAACTGCTTGGCAACCAGACCAGGTGTCTAACTGACACAGGCGCTTATGTGTCAAAATGTGCAGTCACACTGGGCAAGTAAAAGGGACTGGGCATTTAATTGAAGTTATACAGTACTGTAAGCAGATGTTGGACTAAGTCATTGTTCTACAAATTACAACAAAGTCTCAAGTCTTTGCACTCAAGTCCCGAGTCAAGATAGGCAACTCCTAAGTCAAGTCCCTTTGAGTTTCAAGTCCTAAACAAGTCATAATATGCTCTTCACCAAATGTAGTGCCATTTAACAACTGAGTAATAATATTTCAATCAGAAGAGACTCTTTTTTATAGTAATAAAATATATTTTTTAACATGCGCTCATAAGAATGAAAAATGTGGAAAGTCTTTGGCATTAGACCCCATTTAAATGGTATGGTATAGGGAGGGTGATGATCCATAGTCGAATAGGGAACCCCTCAGGGGTCTAGATACTGTTGGTGGTAGAGGTGGTGAAGATGAGTTGGGAAGGGGATGTGGAGAAGATGGATTGATTCAAGCAAAGAGGATCTGGGGAATGAAGTGTCGACAAGCTGGGAGTGAATAGCATTAATGTTAGTTGATTCTCTACTTTTATATCACCGTGCAATTTATTGGTCAGTCTTATCAAACACTTTACATTCAGTTGGAGTTTAAAAAACACACCTGCTCTTTATGCTTTTCAGTCACAGTGCTGGTTATTTGTTTCACTGAGATAAAAGCACACGTACGGACTGGGTGGCACAAGAGGCAGTAAAGTGTTGTGGTGACTCAGTAGGTCAAAGAATGCACCACTTACTGAAGAGTCAGTGTGGCACTTAGTTTTCTCAGCTGTCGGTGTCCAGAAATGCTAAACAGATCTAAACATCATGCTGCCACACCCTGGACATGCTCCAGCCTGCCTACTTCATTATGAATCTTATCTATATGTAAATCTGATCATATTGCTCAGTGCTGATGGGAAGTGTGTGAGTTACAATGACCTCTGCTGTCCAAACTAATGAACAACTGTTTATGCAGTCCACGACCCCTCACACAAACACCTGTCTGTTCTCCCACAGGGAGTAAGACACAGAGGACAGAGCGGCGCTGCGATTCCTGAAATCATTTTAGTGTAAAGACAATCTGTGATCCTCAGGTGTGAGTCAGTGGCTAAACATGACTCAAGTGTCAAGATGTCTCCGGGAAGCCTGAGGTGAAGCACAGGTTAGGAGAAAAAACTGTCCAAACTGTCTAAAGTCTGTGATTTTCTCTACTTTACATTCTTTCTTACAAAAGGTCACTGGAGTCATCTGTGATGTAGCTGACAGACTGTGTGTACATGTGTACATTAGAAAGTTGCTGAGGTCACATTTGTTGGAATACTTTGGCCATAGAGCTTTATTTAGTCTTTGAGAGGGACAAGTTAAATGTTATAAATCTTAAGTTTTATTTTAGATCCTCCATTATTTAAATGACAACATCAAACAGATTAAAAACAAAAAATATATTTTCTCACTCTAGAGGATCCATGATACAATATCATCACAATACTTAGGTCATGATATATTATTGCAATCTTGTGAAATGCTGAGTATTGCAATTTATTAACTTTTTTTCCAACTGCAAATTATTTCCCGAAAGGAAAACTTTGTCAATATCAGTTTTACCTCATAAGATAAAGTTTTGGTTTGTTCATCTCACTTCAATCACTTTTATTGCAGCAAAATGTGACACAAAGCAGACAGACTGACCAACACCAACATAAAACCTGTCAGAAATGCTGCATACACCTGACAACCTGAACTGTTGGCAGATTTAACGCCCTCTGCTAGGCCAGATTAAGTGCATGAGCGAAACACTTCACATGCATGTATCCTGTTAATTGATTGGCAACACCCATGTTAGAAGTGTTGTCTTTAACAACAGCAAGGTTTTTGTCCATAATCCTCCAACCTTGTGCTGCATTTTGCAGGAGGTCTGCAATGTTTGCTGCAGTGTGACTTACATGTACTGCTCTAGTTTGGAGAATGTGAGTGGATTTAATGTTAGCTTAGCCATCAGTGGCTAACACTCTCTGGATGGTGGAGTGGGAGTTCGTAGTATTCCCAAAGTATTTTATGCAAATCACATGTGTCATATCCAAGTCCTTTTGTGTTAAAAAATTCAAAATAAGTCCAGACATTTAATCTAAACACAGATG